GTTGGCTTGATAGGAAAAAACTGTGCTCAGATCATGGGCAACTTTGGAATATGACTCATCTTTTTTGTTTTTAAAAGAAATGCATTGAATTTAAATTAAAAAAATAAAAAAATGAGGCTCCCCTCTACCCTGATCTACCCAAGTGTTTTATGCCTTAAAGAGCAGAGAGCTGTAGATTGCATTATAATAATTCTGTAATAGTAGTAGGAGTAGTTTGTGATCAGGGTCGTTAGTAGTAGGAGAGGTACTGGTGGCTCCTGGAACAGCAATAATGTAATGAGAGGTAACATTTAATGATGCTTATTGCATGCCAGATGCTGTTCTAAGTGATTTGCATAAACTCACTAATTCTTACTGTAAGCCAACAAAGTAGGTACCAGTATGACTGGCATTTGACAGAGGATAAAACTGAGGTGTAGAGAGGCTCAGCAGTCTCCTCAAGTTCACCTTGCTGGAGAATGGTGGAGCTGGGACTGGACCCCAGGTGATGTGGCCCCCAAGTCCATGCTCTTTAACCACTAGGACCTGGGAGTTTGGGTGCAGTGAATGGGGTGTCGAAAAGCTCCTAGAGCATCCGTAGTAATGTTGGGGTAGTGTATCATGTGTTGCTGCATAGCAGATTACCCCACACTTAGTGGCTTCTGACAACAGAAGGTGTTATCTCACGGGGTCTCTGGGCCAAGAATCTGGGTGCAGCCTTGCTGGGTCCTGTGGCCCATGGTGTCTCGCAGGCTGCCGACACCTAGGGTTCAACTGGGGCAGGATCCACTTCCAGATAAAATCAGTGTTGTTGGCAGGACTCGGCTCCTTGCGCGTGTTGGACCGAGGGCTTCAGTTCTTCACTGTTTTGGCAGGAGGCCACCCTCATTCATTGCTCCACGGGCTTCTCTGTAGGTCAGCTCCCTTGTCAGCTGGCTTCATCTGAGTGAACGAGTAAGCGTGTGAGCAGGAGGGAAGGCACAGTCTTTGTAACCTGCTCTCAGAACTGGCCTCCCCTCACTTCACTTCTGCAACGCTAAACTAGAAGCAAGTCACTGTGTCCATCCCCCCGCCCCCCACTCAGTGGGAGCGTCTCATAAGGGCATGAATCCCAGGGCCTAGGGGTCAGTAGGAGCCGTTGAAGAAGCTGCCTCCCCTCTGTGTAGAAGAAACCGCTTCATGAACTGCTCTTGTGCTGACCCAGTGACACAGCATGAATGTGCTTTGAAAATGACACATTTTAAGGGATTTTTATGTCCCTGATGCCAGTAGGTACTTTCAGACTCAACAGGACGCATATCCTTGGCAACTTTTGGGTGGGAAGGGGGCTCTTTCTCCCACACTGCTGCTGCTGTCCTTACGGGCCCATACCTGGTCTGACCCATGGCTTCTAAACCGTATCGTGAGCACACATCTGATGTCAAGAACATCCGTGGCCTGGAAGCAACAGCACAGATCAGGTGGGTGGGTGTTTCCTGGTGAATCAGAGTCATTATCTCCCACAGATTTACTTTTGTTCCGGCTTTTATGTTTTCAAGTTCTAGGACTGTGGGCTCTGCTGAAGTCATTTGAGGGCTGACTCATCCTCAGATACCCAATATCAGCCATTCTTGGATAAGTGAGCAATATCCCCCACTCTTCCTTTAGCTGTGAGGGGCTCTCGTTTGTTCCCAGATACACGCCATATTTTATGAGCTGTGGCCCCGTGTCTTATCACAGCAGGAACAGTAGGGGATACTTGTTGGTTGGGCAAATGGTTATTTTAAAAACAGCACCCCACCCTTCCAAGGTTATTAAAAAACAAATGAACCCAGCATTTAGTTAAGGCATTCAGAACAAATACATATGTAAAGAAAGAGCTCAAGCTTTAATCATCTTTATTTTGACCACCCAAAGATGACCCCCTTTTCCCTTTTCAGAGAATTTCCTCTCAGCTTTTTTTTTTTTCTACGCATATAGGAGTGTAAACATCCACACAAATTTTTATGAAATTGGGATCAAATGTCACATAAGGCTTTTAAACCCTCCCCACATTGAACAATATATATGGTGAAAATTTTCTCAGATCAGTAAAAGGTGATTTTTATGATTTTAATGTGTGCATGGTGCTCTGTTGAAAAAAAAATACCATTAATTAAATATTCCTTTCTTGGAAACTTAACGTTTTCCATTTCTCACAACTAAAAGTCAATTTGTGAGCATCCATCTTTGCTAGGCCATCTTTAATGAAATGCATATTATTGCTAAGTTTTCTAGTTTGCTGACCTGTCTTTTTTTTTTTTTTTTTAAGATATTATTTATTTATTTGACAGAGAGGATAGCGAGAGCAGGAACACAGTGGAGGAGTGGGAGAGGGAGAAGCAGGCTTCCCGCCGAGCAGGGAGCCTGATGTGGGGCTTGATCCCAGGACCCCGGGACCAAGACCTGAGCCAAAGGCAGACGCTTAACTGACTGAGCCACCCAGGCGCCCCTGTCTCCCTCTTTATCTGTGGTTTTGATAGGTGGAAATTAGCCTCCAGGGCATGTGGGCAGGTTCTCTGTAGAAATCTCCTTAACTCCTCTAATGAAGTGGTTCTCGTCCTGGGGCCATTTTGCCTCCAGGGGACACTCGAAAATGTTGGGAGATATTTTCGGTTGTCACAACTCAGGTTGGTACCACTGACATCATCTAGTGGGTGGAGGCCAGGACAGCCTCCTGACAAAGAATGATCCATCCCCCCCAAATGTTCGTTGTGTGGGGGCCAACAGCTCAGTTCTGATGTACCCAGACATCCTGCCTGTTATTGGAAGATACCTGCCCAGCTACCCGGTGGAAGGAAGTGTTAACTCAACTGTAAGATGTCTTGGTTTTGTGCCTGTTGACAGGAATGTGCTCTCACCTGGTTCATCAGCACCCCCAAATCTGTGTGCACTCACAAAGCGAAGTCTTGGCGAGAATCTGTCTTCTGAGGGCTTCTTTGGGGCTAGTGTCCTTGTCTCTCTGAAGAAAGGCTGCGTTGCCTGCTTTGTTTTTGTTGTGTACAGATGTTTCACTGCCCGCTCCCCCACCCGTCCCACGTAGAATGATGGAGGCGGATCATCGCTGTAGATCATACCCCTGTCATTGTTTGCATAAAAGAGGCCTTTGAACAGGGGCCAGAATCAGACCACAGTGGAAAAAGATGAGGCCCCCAAACAATGCAGTGCAACCAGCAGCTCTCTGTAAATTTACGGCATAGTCTTGCCATAATATGAGAGCGAAGTAACCTTGTGATGAACTGGGTGGGAGGAAATGAGTAACGGGAGGAGACGGTTGATACCGTGTTTATATTGGACAAGCTGTCCGAGCTTTCCCGAGCACCCTCTGCAGGAGAGGAAGCTGGGGAGGGGGAAGCTATTTCCTACCGCTGTGTCGTTAAGCACCGTTTGGGTGAAGGGAAAAGGGAAAAAGCCCTGGGATGCTTTCAGGCAGTTATCTTTGGCCTGAGTCACAAGCACGCATAGGTGTGATCCGTCAAAGATGAAGCGTGCAGCTTTTTTGCTGCTAAGACGCAGGTCCTTCTTGGGGTGGCCGGCGGGTGCTTTTATGAGTAAGCATGTAGTTCTTGAAGATTGTCGGTGATTAGAGGGCATTAGAAAGCTGTTTTAAAGGAGGAAACTTAACACCACGAATTTGGCTTTGGGTATTTATTTCGTGTTGAGTAACGAGTTTACAGGTACGCATTCTGGGCTTTCCCTGGCAGCAGAATTCCGGCAGGAAGTGGGGACGGCCGTGCTCCATCCCCTTGCCTGTCTCTGCTGCCTCCAGGCTCGCCGTGATGGGGGTTGCCGAGGAAGGAATGTCAGGGAATAAGAACCAGGGGGTTTACCACCGATCCTCAAAGCAGGGTTTCTCAGCCTCAACAGGTTGACGCCGGGGCGGGATGATTCTAGGCTGTGGCTGTCCTGTGTGCTGTGGGATGCTTCACAGCATCCTTGGCCTCCACCCACGGGATGCCAGTAGCATCCACAACCCCTAGTTGTGACAACCAAAAAGATCTCCAGATACCAGCAAATGCAAAATCCCCTCCCTGGAGAGCCGCTGGGCTAATAAGCCTTGGTCTCCACATACGGCGCGCTCAAGGGGCGCATAGAGTTACTGTCCCCTGAGCAGGACTGATGATGTTGAGTGGACACCGTCTCTGTGTCCAGTCCTTGGCTGTGTGCTCTGTGTAGGTGACATTGTTTAAGCCACAACAGCCTGTGTGGTAAGAGTTGTTAGTATTCCTGTTTTACAGATGAGAAAACTGAGGTTTAGAGAAAGAAGCACGTCCAAGTGCACACAGCCGAAAGCTGGTGTCGGGTCTAAGCATCCGATGCCTGGGCTGTGGTGTTACCTACTTCCCAGAAAATCTGGTCAGTGTGAACGAACACCTGGGTAATCTGATCACTAGCTAGGTCCTCAGGTAGACATAGGGGTCTGGAATTACTGGGATCGGCAGTTTGTGAAGGTGGTTTGCTCCCCAGGGAATGTTTGTTTATGTCTGGAGACATTTGGGCTGTTGTCCCCATGGGGGTGCTGCTGGCAGCTGGTGGGGACAGCCCAGGGATGCTGCAGAAGGTCCTGCAGTGCACAGGTCAGCCCCCACAGCAAAGAACTCTCTAGCCCATATGTGAATGATGCCAAGGTCGAGAACCCTGCTCTAGATAATTACCTTACTTCCCCACTTTTCCAGGTAGACCACAGTTTGATGATCCTGGCAGTCCCGTCTATAAATTTAAGATGATCTTCCAGCGTGGGAGTCTGTTCCTGTTGGGATAGTAATAACTAAAAACAAAGTTCTTAAATTGTTTTGATTTTGCTTTCATCATTTAATGTGTTTCCAAATGCTTTGAGTTTTCTTCTATTTTCTTGTGGCCTTTGCCCCAGAGTGAGGGCCTCCACCCCCATTTCTTGCTTTTTATCTTCAGCCAAGTGAAAAAAACATTGGCGTCCGCTAAGTATGCTTTGTATGCCATCTGTCCTGGGAAGTGGGCACAGGAGCAGAGAGCGGGTGTTCCTCTGGGTGTTCATTCCATTGGGCCCCCTCTCTAGGATGAATCAACGGGAGAGATCACGTTTTACATGAAGGGAGCGGATGTTGTCATGGCTGGCATCGTGCAGTACAATGACTGGCTGGAGGAAGAGGTAAGCGGGGTGCGGGGACTGAGAACCGGGTGGCAGAAGCATGTCTGGAGGCTGCCCTTTGCGTGGCATAGTTAGATGGGTCCCTGTACTTGTTACCTGTGCCTACATAACAGATCACCCCCAGACTTAGCAGCTTAGAACAACACCCTTTTATTTCTCCTGGTTTCTGTGGGCCAGGGATCTGTGCAGCTTTGCTGAGTCCTCTGTTCAGGGTCTCTCGAGGGCTTGCTTGGGGCTGGGGTCTCATCTGAAGGCTCAAGTGGGGCAAGACCCACTTCCAAGCTCACTCAGCTGCCCTGCACAAGAGTCAGCGCCTCACTGGATTTTGTCTGGAGGCAGGTACCAGGAGGGTGGGGGTCACTGGGGGCCACGTCACAGGCTGCCTGTCCTGGTTTGTGATGTGGAGAATTGGCCACAGCAAGGAGGGAAGAAACTCTCTGGTTTATCAGGCCGTTTTTATTTTATCTCTCAGTTCCAGGTAGGGGAATGCACATTTTCCATTCAGTAATACTATGTTTTCAGTTAGAGGGTTGCAAACTCAAATGCCGACAGGGGCCAGGCAGGTAAGTCAAATGAAACAGGCTGGGGTGTGTTATAACAGGGTCACACTTTGTGTGTCTTCACTTGACAACTGTTTTCTGGGAAGACCTAGAAGCAGCTGGTTTTCTTTCATTGTTGGTTGAGGTTATTTGGGAAAGCATGCGTGGTTTCGTCAGAGGTTCGGTTTTTCCAACAAGCCAAAAATCCAGATTTATCTGTGAAGTCTTAGAGCGTTGACTTACATTTTGAAACGTATACTGTACCAATCGACGAAAACCTATGCGTAGGCCACGTTTGGCCCATGGGCTGTGATGTCGCAGCCTCCCTTGAGGTTTGCTTTAGGGGAAAGCCATATTCTGATTTGCCACTTTCCCCATGCCCCTGTGTCCACTGCAGCATCCAGCCCTCCTCAGTGAGAGTCCGGGGCTTGGAGGCAGAGCCCTTAGTATGGCTCTCCACTGACTGAGGTCTGCTTTGCAGTGTGGAAACATGGCCCGAGAAGGTCTGCGGGTGCTCGTAGTGGCGAAGAAGTCTCTCGCAGAGGAGCAGTATCAAGACTTTGAAGTAAGTGGTCCTGGGACCTTTCTCCTACTTTTTGCAGCCCTACCCTTACCTCCCTGATCATATCTCCTCTCCGTCTCCCCCTCGCTCATTCTGTTCTAGCCATACTGAGGTTCTTTCTGAGCACCCCAGGCTCACTTCTGCCACAGGGCCTTTGCACTTGCTCTTCTCACTGCCTGGAACTCTCTTCCTGCACAGAGCTCCGTGGCCTGCTCCCTTGCTTCCTTTGGGTCTCTGCTCAAATACCACTGCCTCTGAGAAGTCTTCCTGGACTCCCCATCTAAGGCAGCCCCACCTCACTGCTCACCATCCATCACCTGCTTAACTTTCTTCACTGTGTGAATCCCCATCTAGGATGACCTTGTTTCTATGTTTTTGTCTAACATTCTTCTTCATACCTCCTTCCTGGAACAAAATCTTCTTCAGAGCAGAGACCATCAGTCTGGTTTGCTCTTGTATCCCAGCACTTAGGTTAGTCATGGGCACATGGTATACCCTCTGGAAAATTTGAAATGAATCACCCCCTTGGAGCCCTCATTTCTTTATGTTGTAAAAAGAGTTGAACTAGATCATTGACTTTCACGGCCAAGGGTTCCAGCATGAATATGTCTGGTTTATTGTCCTCTTGTCCCATAAATTGTGTGTTGCTTGAAGGAAGGGTCCTTGTATCCCCTGGCCTGTCACAAAGCCCAGCGCATGCCTGGGTGTGTGACCAAAAGGGAGAGAGGTGTGGCTGGGGACAGGCTTCTGGGGTCCTTGTCTGGCTCCACCCAGAGGAGCTATGCCTGAGTCTGTCTCTTCCTTGTGCTTGAGTTCTTTGTAAAGTTTTATTTAGCAAGAATTCTAGCCCTGATAAATTCTGCCGTCCTTTCAAGTTTAAAGGCATGTGTTTGAAACAACCCATTAAGGGATTTTTGATTTTCTTCCATGTCTTTGCTAACCCTATAAAGTAGCTAAACTGAAGGGTTGGGTCAATGGTCTTTGGAGGTGGGACTTCATCTCCAGAAAACCCAGTGATCAGGGGTTCTTGGTCACAAAGCGTGTGCCATGTGTGGGAGAACGTGCCGTTTTTTTGAGATCTTAAGTTGTACCAATCCTTGCAACAACCCGGGGAGGTTGGGGCTGTTATTGCTGCTTCATGAGTGAGAACAGTTGAGGCTCAGATACGTTGAGCAACTTGCTAGAAGTTGCACAGCAGGTCAGTATAGAGGAAAGGGTAGAACTAGGGCCTGTGCAAGTTCTGGGCCAATGAACTTGGAAGGACATTGGAAGTCTCCGTTCATCCCTTGGAGGTCCAACCACGCCCTGGGGTCCCCCACTTGGTGTTGCACTCTCCTCGCCCATCAGCCTGGCCCCTTCCTACCCTAAGCAGTGGCTGGGTCTCCCGCTGTGTCGCAGGCCCGCTATGTCCAGGCCAAGCTGAGTGTGCACGACCGCTCGCTCAAAGTGGCCACTGTGATCGAGAGCCTGGAGATGGAGATGGAGCTGCTGTGTCTGACGGGGGTGGAGGACCAGCTGCAGGCGGACGTGAGGCCCACCCTGGAGACGCTGAGGAATGCCGGCATCAAGGTAGGCCGGACCTGCCTGGGACCCAGCTGCTGAGATTCACCATTGGCCCTGCAGCAGAGTGTAGAAATTAGAGAAGGGGGGGTGCCTGCGTGGCTCAGTTGTTAAGTGTCTGCCTTCGGCTCAAGTCATGATCCCAGGATCGAGCCCCGCATCGGACTCCCTGCTCTGCGGGAAGCCTGCTTCTCCCTCTCCCACTACCCCTGCTTGTGTTCCCCTGCCCCGCCCCCCCCTCCCCGCACTGGGCTCCCCGTGGGACTGCGTGCCTCCCCTTCTCCCTCCAGCAGGCTCGGGGTGTTCGGCACATTCTTGTTGAGCCACTGGCCGACCAGCCATCTGCCTGTTGTTCTGGGTGAATGAGGGGCCGCCCGGTGGACTGACCGCCTGTACCAACAAACTGCCTTACTTATTTACACTGTTTGGGGCCAAAAAGAAAAAAAAGAAAAAAAAAAATTCAGGCGTTTAATCCAGAGAGGCCAGCAGAGGGCGTCCGAGCAGCACGCTACGTTTTAAAGGCCCTGAGCAAAGCAAGCGCAACCTCACTGGCTTGGAGCTCCTGGACGCGGGCGTGTTTGCCGCCCACCTCCTCCCCGAAGCAGCTCTCTGGGGCGTCCTTGGGCCGGTACTTGGCATGGACTCCCGTGAGAGGGGCCACAGTAATAAGGGAGCTCCAGCCACAGTCGTGCCCATGGGGGGGACTCACACGTATGTGGGCGTGTGTCGTGGCAAACCAGATCCTGTCGTGTATCTAGTTTGTTGCAAGGACATTGCCAGCAAGATCCCAGTTTTGGAAAAACAGTCCAAAGTCAGAAGGGCTTGCTTCTGTTGCGCCATGGTGCTGAAATTTGTCCCTGGCAACTTCCGTAGACCTCTTCTCTCTAAGGTTTGGAATTCTGGTTTCTGCTTCTGGCTCCATCCTGAGCTTCCCCTCAAAGCTGTCCTCTCCAAAAGGCTGTTTTATTCCCAGAGTGTGGACTGGATTTCTCTTTCTGGTGTCCTTGGTCAGACGGGAGGGGGAAGGGAGTGGGGGGCGAGGGGTCAGGGGGGTTTGTAGGCAGCCCTAGCACAAGGTCCTTCACAGGCCAGAAGCTATTGGAACTTGGAAAATTTCTACTTCAGCTCCTCCCCAGATGCAGCAGCTGAGGCCAAGCAAGGTGGGAAGTGTGCTGCTGGGCCTGGGGCTCAGGTCTGGGCACATACCTGCAGTGCCCCCCTGTCATCCCGGACGTGGGGCATCAGTCACGTGGTAGTCTGATGACTTTCCATGGTTTTCTAGAACTTGAGCCTCCTAGCTCCTTTCCCAGTGTTTCAGCAAACCCTGAACACTGGGATCACTACAAAGAATTTTTTTTTTTTTTAACGGCCAGATGAGATGTTGAGAGGAGAGGCTGACACCCACCAGGGTTAAGCCCAGAGCCACGGCCCCCTTGAGAAGGGCCCAGTGCCCACGTCCTGGCTGTCTCACTGCCTGGGTTTGGCTCCGGTTTCTCCACTGACTGCTTCAGCAGTCCTTGGCAAGTGGCTTGACTTCTCAGTGCTCTGTTTCCTACCTCTGCACATTACCCTGAAGGTCAAGTGCACTGAGCGTGGATGGCGCTTGATGGGCGCCCGGCACGGCGAACACTCTGGAGACCATGGCCGTTGCTTTCCTGTACCTCCCCCACTGCCGGCGTGTACTTTGTGCATGACCCTGCGCCCCTCCCTGCTGGGGCCGCGAGAACAGAGGGTCAGTGGGTAAACCAACGGAGCAGGAAGTGCATTCTGTTTGGGCTCTGAAGGCTGGGATTCTGGGCCTGTTTGGGACAGGAGCTAGCTGTGAGGCTTTGGGGCAAGTCACCTGCCCTCTCTGAGCCCCTGGCAGCGAAACGCAGAATGATCTGTTAGGAGGTGTGGAGGAACTTGGCACATTTACCGTTGGCTTAACCAACCACATAGAAAGACTGCATGTAACGTGACAAACCAGTGTTTTCTGTAGGACACGGAAGTGATCCCTCACCCATACCACCATCCCCTTCTTTGAAATTTTTTATTGCTTTAAGAAAAATTTCCAGAAGGGGGATAGTGAGGTCCGAGGCCGAGCTTCATGATGTCTGTGGAAGCATGTGGCCAAATGGTTTTCGAGAAGTGTTGTACCAGCTTTCACTGCCACCAGCAGTGGTCACTTGGGGTCCTGAAGCCTTTGAGGTGGGGTATTCCTGTGGTGTGTTGGGGACACCATGAGCCTCGAGGTAAGTTGGAATAAATGAAGTTTGGCTCGATGTTCTTGGAAACTGAACAGACACAGTCTGCAGGCTGGCCTTGAACAGTGACCAAGAAGAGCTTCTTTCTGCTGTGGTTCCAGGTTTGGATGCTGACGGGGGACAAGCTGGAGACAGCTACATGCACAGCGAAGAATGCACATCTGGTGACCAGAAACCAGGACATCCACGTTTTTCGGCTGGTAAAGTGTTGTCTGCACTGGGGTCTCATGGGGGTGATGCTCCAGTTTGCCCCGTGACCTCAGAACCTCCAGTGCACCCCTAAAGAGGGGAGGCGGGAGTGTGTTAACCACCTTGGGTGGGGGAACTTATAGCATTGGTTTGTGGGGGGAATTACTGAGTGGCCCCGGTGAAGCTGCAGGCTTCCTTTGGGGGTGGTGCGGAAGCAGCTAGTACAGCCCTGGGTTCTTAACCTGGTGGGGGTCATGGTCCCTTTGAGAAGCTGACGCAGGGCACAATCAGGATGAAGGATGCAGATAGGCCCATACGTGGAAAATTGTACATATGAGTCCAGATGTCCCCGGACCCTTGAAGACCAAGTCCTTGGATAAGTAAATTCCAGATCACAAATAGTGGCCTGTCTGCCCTCCTGAAGGAAACCTTTAGGAGTCTTTAGAAGGAGGTATAGTGGATGGGCAAACGGGAAATTGTGTCTTGCCCTTGCGGCAAGCACTTGACCCCAACTGCGCAGCCACGAGGAGCTGCTCGAGGCTAGAAGCCAAGGGCTGGGATCGGCCTGACGGAGCTGGGAGGTGAGGAGCGGGAGGTCCCCTCCAGGCAGGATGCGCCAGTCCTGCTCCTGAAACCAGAGCCCTCACACCCAGAATGGAGGGGCTCTCTGCCTGTCCCAGGAGTGTCCCCTCGACCCCCTGCCTTTGGTCTGCGGCACACGCCGCCTTCAGGAGATCCGGCAGTTTGGGGACTGGCCCCAATAGCGTTGTGTAGAGGCAGATACAGTTCGTCTTCATTAGCCATGGATTCCAGATTTGCAAATGCACTTACTTACTAAAATGTATTCCAAACCCAGAAATCAGTCCTTAGGGCACTCTCAGAGTCCTCCGTGGACATGTGCAGAGCAGGGAGAAATCGTTGTTGCCTGATGTGCACATTCCCAGCTGGGGTCACACAAGGAGACTCCCCGTCTTCTCTGCCCTCTACTGCACGTGGAGCGTACTTCACGGTTTGTGCAGGGCCACTTTTTATTTTTTTTTATTTTTTTTTCATTTTTGTGCCGTCAGTGATTTCGCTGTTTAAAATCCTCCCTCTCAGCACAGTGCTGGAGTGCTGTCTAGTGTTGTGAAGCGCAGGAGGGCTCCGATGTGCTCTATGGAGAACGTATGTGTGTTGGATGGGCTTCCTTCAGGTGTGAGTTAGAATGCTGTTGGTTAGGAGTTCAGTGTTCATGAGTCAACAATATGTATTTCAGAAGATGTGTTCAGGGGCACCTGGGTGGCTCCATCAGTTAAACATCTGACTCTTGATTTCGGCTCAGGTCATGATCTCAGGGTCGTGAGATCGAGCCTTGGGTCGGGCTCTTTGCTGAGCATGAAGTCTGCTTAAGATTGTCTCTTTCCCTCTCCCTCTGCCCTTCCCCCTGCTTGCATGCTCTCTCTCCCTAAATAAAATCTTTAAAAAACAAAAAAGATGGGTTTAAATAGAAACACATATAAAACAAAGTTATACATTGATTGACAAAAATTTTGTGGCCAAAGGCTCACAGGAACCTCGCCCGTATTTCCCCTAGGAGCAATGAGTGGTTCCTTATTTGCTAAGTCAGTGTTCACAGCGACTTTATAGAGTGTAACTCCTGAAAATAATGAGAATTGACTGTATGTCTTACATATTCTGTATTCTCTACATTCTGTATATTTAGGGGTTGCAAACGACAGTCCATGTGCCACCTGCTTTTGTAAATAAAGTTTTACTTCATTTTTTTGAGATTTTTATTTATTTGAGAGAGCGAGCACGAGCAGGGGAGGGTCAGGACCGCTTTGGCGCTACAACAGCAGTCGAGTCGTTTCGACGAGCACTGTGGGGTCCCCAGAGCTTGCAGTGTGTAACATCTGGTGTGTTCCAGAAAAGTTGGCTACCCTGCTAGATGCCTGGCTTCTGACACCTGCTTCACAGCCCCCTAGATGTGTTACTTGAGGCGGGCTCACGGCTCTGCCGCATCTTCGTTTCCTTATGTGTAAAGTGCGGCTGTTATCATTATGCACCTCGTAGGGTTGTTGTGAGAAGTAAATGGGGACAATCCATGGAAAGTGCCTAGCACAGTGCCTGGCACACAATGAAAGTGGGGTCATGTTTAGCTTTTTTTTTTTTATTACGTGGGTCACAGCCGTCCTGGGGGCAATGCCAGGTGATAGTTGGGATACAGGCTCTCCCGCTTCCCACAGAATCATAACAAACACGGTTTAATTTGGCTCTGGGTCTGGTGGCAGGGGCGGGGCAGGGGTCCTTGGCTGGAGTGGCCATTGTCTTCATCCCGGCTTCAGGAAGCCGCTGTTTGTTGTTCTTCCATCTCGGGAGAGCAAGGCCTCCTCCACCCCTCCGTTCCCTTCCAGGTGACCAACCGCAGTGAGGCCCACCTCGAGCTGAATGCTTTCCGCAGGAAACATGACTGTGCCCTGGTCATCTCTGGAGACTCCCTGGAGGTGGGTGCAGGGACAGCGCCGGCCGGGTCCTCCTGGGACTGTGCGCCCCTTCCTGCTTTGGGGGGGCGGGGGCAGGGACCTCGCTTGACCGCCCCCTCCGCCTCCCCCCGCCGCCGCAGGTTTGCCTCAAGTACTATGAGTACGAGTTCATGGAGCTGGCCTGCCAGTGCCCAGCTGTGGTCTGCTGCCGCTGCACCCCCACCCAGAAGGCCCAGATCGTGCGCCTGCTCCAGGAACGGACCGGGAAGCTCACCTGTGCAGTGGGTAGGCAGCTGCCCCCACCCCCCCCACCCCGGTCCACCGCCTCTGTGCCGGGTCCCTCTCTGTAAGGGTGGTCGGACTCGGTTGCTGTGTTCCTCAGATCCCCAGGCCACTTCACGGTAGGTCATGCTGTTTTCCCCCAGCAGACTTTGGCTCTATTATTATTATTATTTTTAGTATTTCCCTTTGAGTAAGAGGAGATAAGCGTGCTCTAGGGCTTTTCTCCAGAGCTTGCTCTTCCTTTGCTCGGGAGGCAGGAAGTAGCGTTGCGCAGGGCTGTGGACCACACGTGGTGGAGCTGGCTCTGGGCTCCCGTCTGTGCTGCTTTTAGCCCCTCAGTGCCCGTCGGAGCCTCAGTCTGCCTGTTGGTAGAACGGGGTCGTAAGCACTCAAATGGTGCTGAGGAGGCTGGAAAAGGGGTAGATTTAAAAGGCGGTGGCCACAGGGCACAGTATAGGCTCAGTAAGTGTAGAGCCCGTCACTGGTGCTGATGGGATGCGGCGCCCCACGCCTCCCAGGCAGGGCTGCGGTGTGGGTGGACACGGTCCCCCTGCCGCCGCTTGATGGCTGGGGATCCCGCCAGTCACCTGGGGTTCCTCTGACACTCGGCTGCTCTGTCTGTGAGACAGGAAGCTGATACTGTGGGGCGTGGGAATGATTAAATGGAGCAGGGCAGAAAAGGCTCTTAGTAATAAGCAGGCACTCAGTGAAAGGCAAATCGTGCATGATGATTCAAAGTAAGAATGAAATGCGGGGATCCTGTCTCTCGCCCCTCCCCAATTTCCCGGCTTTTCTCTCTGGTCCATGCGGCCCACAGGTGATGGAGGCAATGACGTCAGCATGATTCAGGAATCTGACTGCGGCGTGGGGGTCGAGGGGAAGGTGAGTGCGGGTGTGGGGCATGAGGGGGGCTGCTTACTGCCGAGTAGTTGGCACGAGAGTGTCGGGTCATCGTGCTGGGCTGGGAGCTGCTCTGCTCCACCAGCTGGAGCTTCTTTTTCCCTCAAAACACAGCTTTGATGCTTCTGAAAATTCTAGATTCGCATTATGAAGCATAAAGAACCATGAAGCATGATCACCTGGTATTATTACGTGGGAGTCGGACGGAGATCTACATCACTCCATCTTAACAGAGGACAAGTGCTGATTTTTCACGTGCCAAGACTTAAAAAAAAAAGTGTTTTGCTATATTGTTAGGGCACAGTGAGCGTACTTGGCACTTTCCCACGGCCGTTGTCATGGTGTCCATAAAAGCATCAGTCATCACGCCATGTGTGGATGTCTGGGAGATTAGGGAAGAATGTGGCACGGTCTGCCCCTCGCTAAAAGCTGCATTTTTAAAAAGTTGGTGTGTCATAATAGTTTCTCTCTTTCTGTCATTGTCACCTGTGTACTTGCCTCTTACAGTTTTCTCTGTCCTAATTTGTGACCTCTAAATGACAATAGGCAAGAAGATTGGTTACCAGGTTTATTAGAACTTTGTGTAAAACAAGAGTACAGAGGTCCTTAGTGAGGGCCAGAGATGCTGTCTTATGCATTTTGTTCCATAGCTTCATGAGTTGGGCTAATCCAAACACTTTCGTATTCTTTCTACCCTTTCTGGTCTTGTGGTTCTCATCCAGTTGACAATTATTCGAAGTTACAGAATTTAGTGATCTTTGAATGAGATGTTACTGGAACGGACTCTTTTAATGCTGGTCTGCCCCGCTAGTGGCACCCATCATGCAGCTTTTAAAATTAGATCATTCTAATGGTTGCACTTCTATAAATGTGCGAATATAAGTACGCTCAGGAATGTTCTATTTGGTGTAGTAGCCTCAGCCCCTGCCCCCAGCCTTACATTTCACTTAGAGGAACGGAGTGTTGTAAAGTGCCTATCTCTGATGATTCTTTGCTTCTGATAGACATTATGGGGTGGGTCTACCCGCCAAGGCTTAATACTAGATCCACTTGACCTCCAAATTATAACTATCTATGATTTAGAATGTTCTTTTAAAATAAATTCCTCTTTTTAAATCAAAGTTAGATTTAGATCACCAACCGAGTACAGCTTGAAACCAAAGAAGCTCTTCCTTGAAGTTTTCCAAAGATCTTCTTACAGTGTCTTGCTTTTTCAATGAAAAAAAAAAAGTGTTTGCCTTGACCTCTTGTGCTCCTGACGGTGCCCAATTTTATGCGGATTTTAGGAAGGCAAACAGGCTTCCCTGGCTGCAGACTTCTCCATCACCCAGTTCAAGCACCTGGGCCGGTTGCTCATGGTTCACGGTCGGAACAGCTACAAGCGCTCAGCCGCCCTCAGCCAGTTCGTGATCCACAGGAGCCTCTGTATCAGCACCATGCAGGTGGGCGGCCGGTCTGACGCCTCACATGGGCACGTGGCTGGCAGGGAAGAAGCCTGGAACTAGACCGTGCTTTGGAGCTATTACCCTCCCTGGCCAGTTCATTGGTTTGTTTATGGAGTTTATTTTCCCACCTGACCAGTTTAGATCCCTACCTGGCCACATTCCAGCTGATAGACCTTGGATTGCCTCCGATCCTTCCTCTGGTGGATGGGGCAGGCCGTCCTTGCTTGCGGGGGGTGGCTGCAAGCATCAGCAGGGGTGGCTGTCCGGTGCTTGGCAGGGGGGAGGTGTGGTGTCAGTGCCCAGAGTTGTTACGATTGGTTTGCCAGAGGGAAACATGCAGAGTGAAATGCTAGGTGAATACTCTGGTCCTGGGGTTTCCAAATGCACACATGAGGGTCAGCAGAGAATAACCACAAAAGAAGAACTTGATTTTCTGGAGCTCTTCCTACACCCTGGATGCCCGGCTCCATGTTCACAATGCAGTGTCTCGTGCAGTCCTCATGGTAGCCTGCGCCCATTGTACAGATGGGGAGCCTGAGCCTCCATGAGGCTGAGAAATGTGTGCAGTGTCCCTTGGGGGTTTAGTCTACATCGGGCGGGGACTCCAGAGCCCTTCATCACGGTGTCTCCTCAAGTGCCCTCCATCCTCGGCTTGCATGGGCTCTCAGGTGGGGCAGCATAATCTGAGGGGCCTCCGAGGTCACAGTTCTGCCTCCATCCATCGCGGGTGAGAGTCGAGCTGGGTTGTCTTGATTGTTCGTCTTCTCAGGAGTAACATCTTGTTCCCATCTTGTTTCTCACAAAAGGATTCTAGAGTATTTTCCCCACCTTCTGTCTCACCAGCTCCTTTAACATCTGTCATCAGGCTCTAGCAATTAAGTGTACACTAGGGGGAAGGCCAAAGGGTGGGGAGGAAAACATTTCGGTGTTGAAAAACTGTTGACTGATTACCCTTCATGGACATTTGGCGAAAATATCACAGTTAAGTAGTGAGAACATAGGGATGATGTGACTTGAAACCCATATCTCTTTCTGACCACACCACTAAATATCTCTGAGACCTTTAGCAAGTCATTTTACCCCTCTGGGTCTCAGTCTTCCATCTGTGAAATGGAGATGGTAAGACCTGCCTTGCCTCTCGGACAAGGCTACTTTGAGAAGCAGAGTTCGATAAAGCATCAAGTGCAGAAGGCATCCTTACCACTATTCATAAAAACCAAACAGGATGATGTATCCAGTAAGGTGACATTTTAATCTATGGGAAAGGCACTTAATTACCATATAAAAGGCCTCCTCCCTTTCCGAGTGGGTGAAGTGATGCTATTCTGTGTACATGAGCCTCCCCCTCCTCTGGCCTCTTCCTTGCCTTCTGGGGTTGATTTTATGTTTTCAATATCTATTGCATTTGTGAGCATAGGAGCCTTTAAGTGATTTTTATCAACGCAGTCTACACCCAAACAGCTATTACGGTTCATCAGACCACATCTGTCCTTTTATGTTAGCCCATAGATACTGCTATGGTTTAATCACTGGGAGATTAATCAGCTTGTCCCTGGGCATGCACACACAAGCTGGGCTGGGTGAGCTGACTTCTATAAAGCCTGTATGTTGTTACTCCGAACGTCAATTTAGAAAAAAAATCCAGGATGGGAAATTGTTCTTTGGGGCTGTGGAAAAAGGCCCTTCACTCCTGTCCACTGTGCTGAAAGTGGCTGGCTAAGGGCATGTCCCTGTTAGAACTGCACCTTGGCGTTGGTCTCTTCGATAGATGTGGCCGTAGTGTTTTCTTTTCCCTTAAGTGTTCTCTCCAAAATGAAGGATTTCTGGCCAGCGTGGCCCTTTTAGAGGAAGGAGGCTCTTGATGTTGATTTACAAAACTAAACACCAGATTCTTGACATTTTTACAACCATCCTTTCTGTGCTGCAGCCCAGCTGAGGTGAAGAGTCATTTGAAAGGTGGCTTTCACCTTCCAGTTCTGAAATATGACCACGGTGCCAGTGGGGCTGCCCAGGACCTGGGCCGCAGGTGATTGGGGGTCTCGCCTCTGGTCGCACACCCTTTCTAATCACCAGGCTGGCTCGGGCTCTTTCTCGTATTCAGCTCTTGAAAAGCCTCTAGCTGTCTCTGGCCTCTTTTTGGTTTTATACTAATAGGAATTAACTTTGAGGCCACTTTCCTTCTGTGAGCCTGTCGATGCCCAGAGAAGGAAGTGTAATGGAGCATCAAGTCCGATTTTATCTCCCCAGCCTGGTTTTCACTGCCAGTAGCTACTGTTTTCCAAGTCAGGAAGCAGACATTTCAGGGAGGGTTTGGAAGTGTCTTTATTGCTCTTGTCTAACAAAGGCAGCAGGTTATAGGCTCTTTGTAAAAATTTCCAGAAACAGTAAAATGTGTCCTGTAAGAAGCGACATGCCTTCTCTGCCGCCCCCCCTCCAGGGTAACTGGTGTACATCCTCAAGTGGGGGTATCTTTCCACCTCTGTGTCCATACCTCCGCCAACTTGTTTATCATTCGCAGCCCAGAGAGGCGGTGCTTCTGAGCTCTCAGGACTGTGGGTTCTGGAGACAGAGCTGGGCTTGAGCCCCGCAGTGCCCTTTACCTGCTCAGATTCCCCTCCTGTGAAATGCAGGTGATAGGAGGACTGGATCTCATGGGTGGTTCTGGGGATTCACAGAGGTCACACAGAGTATTCCTGGGTCCAGCGTGTGTCAGTTAAAGTCCGTGTTCACAGAGGGTCTCTGGAGCTAAACCACCTGGGAGTGACTCCTGGCTCCCATCACTTACGAGCTGTGTGATCTTGGGCAAGTCCCTTAACCTCTCTGTGCCTTACTCTTGTCATCTGTGACTAGGGGTTGATGATAACAGTACCTACCTCATAAGGTGATTGTAATTGTGAAATGAACTGATTTCCTTAAAGCACTCACAACGGTGCTGGGGAGGTTTGTGCCATGTTAAGTGTTGGGTGTTATTTTATTATATAAGCATAGGGATTTTGTCATGATTTTTGGTAACATCCTCCTTTCTCGTTGGCACAGGCTGTCTTTTCCTCCGTGTTTTACTTTGCCTCCGTTCCTCTCTATCAAGGATTCCTCATCATTGGGTAAGGAAATCTAGGCAGGGTATTAATTTTTTATGAAACCTCCCTAAAATGCCACAGATGAGAGAAGAAACGTGGTGTCTAGACTGTTTGGTCCCCAAGTTGTCCGCGATGCAGTTCAGAACCTTCTCGAATTTTCATTAGTTTTTTTGAACTGGCCAGCCTGTAACCAGATTGAGGAAGTGGAGTCCAATATGTTTGTGGTTCATAGCACTTGGCCGTTTGTACCTGGAGATGGAAAAATATTTGCCTGTGAGAGTCTGAGCTGATTGGTGATTGGCAACCAAAGCAAGATTGAAGGTTCAGACTCAGTGATTTCATTGGGGTCTTAGAAAAAGTGAAAGGGGAGCCCTGGAAAGTACCCTACCTGCTGTGGACCCCAGTAGAACGTTCTGCTGCTGGGTCTGTAAGGCGGGCCAGAGCTTTGCTCTCTTGGGGGATGTACCTAACAGAGCTTCGTTGCTGCGTGCTGCTGACCTATTAGACTAGGGTGTCACTTGGACATTTGCTGCCTTCAAACCCAGCTCCATTCCTGACTTGGAATTCATGACGTTCCTTTTGATCCTTCAGAGAATGTGCTCATTCTGTGAATTGCCCAGGTAGGTGGAGTTTGGTTACCACACACCCTAGATGGAGACGCATGTAGGGCGCACTCCTGGTCGTGAAGAGGTGGGAAGCATAGAAAGGCCGGCTGGCCCCGGGGGAGAGTCTTACGAAGGACGCCTGCCTTTTTTTTATGTTGGCCCATTCAGTCTGAGAGTCAGCAGTGGAATTCTGCTTGCTTCTAATTGGACAAGTGGACTGTCTTTTATCAGGTCCCAGAAGAATGAAAGAACATGCCAGAGTGTAGGCAGGGGCTCCCTGTGGGCTTCCATGACTGGACCCCTCGTCCCTCTCTGTTCCCATTTCCTTCTCTCTGCCCCTCACTCACTCAGCTCCAGCTGCACTGGCTGCCTTGCTGTTCTTCAGACAAGACGCACTCTCACCTCAGGGCCTTTGCACGCGATGCTCTCGCTGCCTGGGATGTTCTTCCCTCCATTTGGGCATGACTGCCTCTCACCTTCTATGGGTGTTTACTCAGATGCCACATCCTTTGGGCACCCTCTCTAAAATCACACCACCCCCATGTCTCTTTCCTTCTTTCCCATTAGAATTTCCTTCTTAGCACTTACCTGCAACACACAGTGTAGTTTACCGACTTTGTTGACTCACTAACTAGCATGAAAGCTCTCGGAGGGCGGATGTTTCCGTCTGTTTTTCATCTGAATCTCCTGTGCTTAAAACCATCCCTGGCACAGAATAAGCACGCAGTGGATGGTTGTTGAAGGAATGAATGGAAATTGGGCTGCAGAGGCTGGAGAAACAAATTGCTCATATTCCTTCGGCTGGGTCTTACCTGTGGTGATTTCTGCCCCCTCCCCCTCAGGTACTCCACCATTTACACCATGTTTCCTGTGTTTTCTCTGGTCCTGGACAAAGATGTCAAGTCGGAAGTTGCCATGCTGTATCCTGAGCTCTACAAGGATCTCCTCAAGGTTCACTGGACTCCCGCTTCCCTCCCTCATTCCTTCTTCCTCCTTCCCCCTCCTTCCCCTTCTCTCTCCCTACTTTTAACTTATTTCACACAGACCCTCCATATCTGGTTTGAACACACTGATTTGAACTGGTGGTTTCTCAGAGGAAGGCGTGGGATTTTATTTTTTTCCTTAAGAAAGTAGTATATACACGTGTAAAGAATATTAAACAGTACAGTAATATGTAAACTGCAAACAGACCAACTAACAACTTTAAAAAAAAAGCCCTGACGGTTCCATCCTGCAGCTGCAGCTGGTGCCTGCTTCCGGAAATGTCCTTGTGTACACTTCCAAAAAAAGTGTGTGTGGTGTGTGTGTGGTATGTGGTGTGTGTGTAAAAAAAGCGTGTGTGTGTGTGGTATGTGGTGTGTGTGTGGTATGTGGTGTGTGTGATGCGTGTGTGCGGTATGTGGTGTGTGTGTAAAAGCATGTGCGGTGTGTGTGTGTCTTATGTGGGTGTGTGTGGTGTGTGTGTGGTATGTGGTGTGTGTGTGTGATTGTGTGTGTGTGATTGTGTGTGGTATGTGGTGTGTGTGTGTATGATTTATTTGTCCTCAAGGAATTTTACTGAAGAGCAGATTTATTTCCACTTAATATCAATTCTCAATTCTCTTTAAAAAATGTAATTTCTTGAATGTGTTCAGATACATGCAAGACACTTTTTTTGATGGAAACAGGCAGGTTGCCTGTTAGTGGAGGAGACAAGCACGGCAGTAACCTGCTCTTTCTCGCTTTCTCATTTAGGGAAGACCGTTGTCCTACAAGACCTTCTTAATATGGGTTTTGATTAGCATCTATCAAGGTAAGGAAAGCAAGACCACCTGTTGTCTCGTGCTAAGGGTCAGCTTTTCTGTTGTCCATAGAACATGAAGAGAAGAAGCTGGAACCCTGAAATTTGGTTAAGGAGCGGGACAGTACGCCCCAAGGGAGGCCCTGCTCGGCGTGTTCTAAGGACTGGAACATTCAGCTCGGTGATAGATCTGTGAGGTGGTGCCATCTGCCTCATGAGATAAAGTCTGAGAAGAAGATAAGGGAGGGGCGCCTGGGTGGCTCAGTCAGTTAAGCGGCTGCCTTCGGCTCAGGTCATGATCCCAGGGTCCTGGGAT